AGTTGGTGCCCACACAATCCTCAGCTATCACTCTGCGAATACTCTGGCCTGAAAGTCATTAATTTATCATCTAAGATGCAGAAGCAGCATGGCTAGTGAATAAAGACAGTTGACATTTTTGTGTTGCTTTCTTGGGGGGACGGGAGTAGGGCAAGACAAACGTTTTTGTGGAAAGTTTTCATTTCTTCTGAAAATTTCAGTTTTTCAGTGAAAAGTCTAATGCTCCCTCTCCCTCCCCCCCCCCCCAAAAAACGAGGATGTTTTCATTTAGAAAACTGGGAAAATTCTGCAAAAAAAGTGATGGGAAGAAAATAAAATTCCATGGAAAACACCTACTGCTTTCCAACCAGCTGTACTACTGATATTTGTTGACAACAATCTTCGAAGCTGTCTGATAAGCCTGTCTCTCACCTCAAATCCTCTTTGTGTAATTAAGGTTAGCTGGGGGTAACTGTTCTCAGAACTGGGTTCTGAACAATTCATGTCCTGCAGTCAGACCTTCTCTGCTGAAGGCTCTTGTACTGCTATTCACTCCCACTGTCAGGTCCATGAAAGCCATGATGCAGGACCCATTTATTCAGTTTTTTATTTTATTGTTCTTGTGTGTTACATTTCTGAAATAAAGCAGTCAGACTGACAAGTGCTATAGAAATCAGTACAATCATTTCTTTTCACCAGTACACCTGTATCCCATACTCACACAACTTTGCTACGGATGTGCCAAACAGGCTCAGATAACATAAAATTACCCCACACACCCAAGAATCAAGCGGAAGGTTTTTAACAGCACAGGTTTGCTGCTCCAGTGGGCTTGGACTGTTTGGAGAAGGAAGCAGCTGGAGTCTTTGTGAATTTCTTCATACCAAATCGGACCTTTTTGAGATTTATGCATCAGCATGTAGAGTGACAAAAAGAACAGCAGAATACTTCATTCTTTGTGAATTTAACCTGGAGCCAACAGGTTGTGACTAATGTGGACAAACTTAACGGTGACAGAACAGTACTCCAGGGAATGATTTTACTTAGGCCTGGTCTACACTGAAAAGTTATATTGACATAGCTATATCAGTCAGTGGCGTGTAAAAACACACACCCTTACCGAGGTAGCTATGCCAACATAACCCCCCGTGTAGACACAGCTATGTTGATGGGAGTGGTGTTCTGTCAACACAATTAACTTCTTTCGGGGAGGTGGTGTTCCTACACCCTTCTGTTGGCGTACGGCTGCATCTACACTACAGGGCTATGCCAGCATAGCAACGGTGGTATCGTCTCCATAGCGTAGATGTAATCTTAACACTTACGTAGTCCTCTCCACCTTCACAGGGGCTATGGTGATATTAATTAATTACTCACAGTACCTATCTGAGGTAGAAGGGTGCTGTCATCATCATCATCATCTCCATTTACAGATGGGAAAACTGGGGCAGAGAGGGGCAGAGACTTACCCACTAGGTCACACAGTGCATCAGGTCTTGCAAGGACTACAGACCAATTCTAGAAGTTTTTGTGATAGCCCTTCATTAAGGCACCAGAAGCTAAGACTGGAAATCTCAAATCCTGGGTCACTTTAAATAAACCTTCTTCTAGTAGTTATAGGTGAATTTAAGAATTTTTCACCTGCCAAGACCTGAGCTAAGGATTCTGTTCTGCTTGCAGCAGCTGAAATCCTCACTGACATTTGTAACTGTGGAGGCAGTGACATTCCTCACCCTGCTCTGAGGTGCTTGGCAAGCCATCAACTGAATTCAGGTCTTGAAAGATAAGTAAAACAAGGGGGGAAATGTTCTCAAATGTAATGAGGTGCAAGTTTTAATCTTACACAACTGTGGTACAGGTCTAGTGGAATGAGCATGGTGCTGCTACAGTGTAAGCTTGGACAAATTGCTTCCCCCTGCCTCAGTTTCCACACATGTGAAATGGAGTTAACACCATCTACCCACCTCGGATGAGGAGTGTTGGGTATGTGCTAAATATTATCACTTTTAATTTAGTGCCTTAAATAGTTTCTTCCTCTTTTTCTCCATGAAAGATTTTCACTTCACACTTTATGTATCCCCATCACTAAACACTTCTTTGGAAAACTGGGAGAGGAAGGAAATGTCAGTTCAGGTGCTACAGACCATTTGTCTTTAAAGGGAAATGAAAATTCTTAGCAAGTGAAGTCCCAATTTCTGTAAAGAGCAGTACTAGGAAAGTTTTAACTCCTTGTAACCCACATAGCAATTCAATACAGCTGAGAAGTGAAGGACAAAGGAATTAGAAGCCCTCATGGGGCCCATTTCAGGCAGGCTCTGGAGCAGTTAAATTCTTACTTTTCCAAATGAATAAACAGACTGAGGAGGGATCTCTGCCTATCGGATGCAGGCACAGAACTGATGTCTTTCCCCCTAGACCATTCCAAGCAATTTCCTGAGTGTATTGTGCCCAAAGCACCTGAAGAGAATTCTAACTCATTCCTTTCAAGGAAATGTTGTCCAGCCTTAGAAAACCCTGGACAAAATTATTATGTAACTCATTTAGACCCATTCCCTATGATGGGCTGGTTACAAGCTCAAAAAGCTTTTCATCAACACTCCATAGCTAGTTGCTCAGCTGTACATATGCTTTCTTTTCTTGAACTTCAGCACATGTTCTAAATGGCCTTTGGTGTGTTGTACATCAATGATGGTATATTTTTACCTAATGCTTCATCATCACAGCTGGCATTTCCTCAGTTGGGGAAGACTTTCTGGCGTTAGTGCAAAGATGCACGCATGCTCTTATTCATGCCATGAGTTTGACAGTCAGGAGCTCTTCATTTTACCTTGTGTGTGTGCAGAATAGAGCTTGTAGAGGAACAGAGACCATTTCAACAGCTTCTGTACTGGTTCAGAACTAACCCATAAGCTCTGTGCTAATGTAGTTAATGAAATTATTAAATAGCAAATTTCAGAAGGACAAACAACATTGTCCTCATTATTACATTTAGTAAAACTACCAATAGACATCACTGTTACTCTGTTGTTGTTTTTTAAAGCTTTAGCAAAGCAAAGTTGTCAGAGAGATGTGGCAAGGTATGCTTCCCATAAGCCAGGCCTGCACAACTCGTAAAGCGGCGAGGGCCATATTACTCCAAAGAAAACAACTGA